CATTTCCTCCAGATGTCTCGGGGTGTGACATTGTCCAGCTGTCTGCAGTCTGTGGTGAGAGGACCTTCAACGCGTACATGGTGCCTCGCCGCAGCATGGGCTACAGCGCCTCCTTCGTGACGGGTTTCACAGTGGAGGGCGACAGCCTGCTGCAGTATGGCCGCCCCATGATGACCGTCCCCCTCCAGGACGCACTCGCCGATTTCCTCACCTTCCTACGTGGCTTCCACAGCCCCGTCCTCGTGGCCCACAATGTGCTCAGGTTCGATGCCCCCATCCTCCTCCGCTCCCTCAGAGGCTTCTCCCTCCAAAATGAGCTAGAGAGGGTCATCCCAGGCTTCCTGGACACTTTATTGCTCAGCAAAGACCTCCCGGCCTGTTCCAGGGTCAGGAAGTTCTCACTGCAATACCTCGTTAAATACTTCCTGGGCAAGCCGTTTGAGGCTCATGATGCTCTAGAAGATTCCAAGGCCCTAGAGCAGCTGTGCCATGTCTGGAACCCAAGCCCAATGCTCATACGCAGACATCTGTACACAGTGCAGCAGATACATTTCTAACATCCAGTTTTCAACGCCAGGGGGCGCCAAGGAGAATGTTTAGTTCTGACTGTTGTGAGGCCTGTATCAGTTGAACATGCCTCTCTAAAATTATGTTTTTCATTTAAAATTGGGCATTTCACAGTTTCTCATACGGATGTTAAAATGACCTGTGCTTACTTCAACTGCCTACATTCATCTTTTTGGCATAATTACATATAATTGCATCATCACCAAATTTTAGACAAAATACTTCCACATCATTTTCCACAGTACTGACAAATAAAATCATGCTTATTGCGTTGCCTTTGCTTTTCCCTAAGCTACATGGACTGTGGACCAAACTGTTAAATACATTCTGGTTAAGTATTCCCTCTAAACTTGTGTTTTCATAATAAAACTTTTACAAACAATAAGCTTATTTATTTCACGCTTAAAAATACTTAAAACAAATGTAGCTGACTGGTTCTGAAGTGTAATGTAACAATTTACTGTGCATTGTAAGTGCATTTTAATGAATGTCTAAACAAATCCGGTTTGTACCCTTTTCCAGCACCTGTGAGTGGTGCAGGGTTTGGGTAGCTTAAGGGTGGTGCAAAAAAGTGAATCTCCAGTGGTGCAAAAAAGTGAATGAAGCAATACTGATTTGGAAACAAAATAATTTTGGGGCATATTTAATGGTGGTCTGCATGGGGAGATGCGGACAAACAGATCACTGTTTATACAGGATGTCAATGGCTTTTCGCAGACAAAAAGAGCACATCTCCATAGAGGACAGCGCCACTTGGGAATCTTTGACTTGGAAACACTTCAGGAGACCAGTCAGATTAAGGATCCCATGTCAGGCAAGTTAAATGAAGGCAAAACAAACAGAGTAATAGCTGAATTATTCTGTTTATTGTAAGTAGCAAGTTAATAATGAGATTAACATATTTTTTAACAGCTCAGAATAAGTTTGAGATATATGAGACCAAATCAGCTTAAATTTGACAAAAATTGGTCCAAAAACAATTATGCTTCAGTTTTTAAGCAATCTAAAAAAATGACTACCAGTACCGACTGGCAGGGCAGTACCTAAACATTTGGGCCCCCCTGACAAAACGTCACCTCCAATCCAATCATACTTATCATTATACATATTCAAGGGCCCCCATCAAGTGTTGGAGCCCCTGAATCTGCCAGGGTATCCATGCCCCTCCGGAACCCCTGAAGACCAAACTGCACTTATATAATTCTTCCCAACGATATTTATTGTGTGTTTTCTCATGGTCATAGTCAGAAGCAGAAAAAAGCAGGTTGTCTTCTGTCATTGGTAAAAAATAAATAAATAAATAATCACTGTTTTCCCTGTAGGGAAATTACATTTATTCAAGCAGCGATTTTAATCTGATCTGGAATCAGGAACGTGATACACAAACATATACAATTCCGATTTTTATCAGAACTGTTATATTAACTAACCATTATTCCGTTTTTGTCAGAACTACTATATTTGTATACATTTTGGATATTATATTTGTAGACATTCATTAACAGTTTCAAATGCTTTCTCAGCATAACTAACACACATTACTAAGTCAGCGTTTATTTGCACAATTTTAGGGAAAAAATGCTGTATGTTGTGTACAGAACAATGTTTTTACTGCATAGCTAATGGGACTGCACTGCACATCGGACAGGAAAAGTGCTACTCCTGCTTGTCCTCTAGGTGTCACTATGGCTCTACCGAAAACTATTTTCTTCAGCTGATTTATTTGTTTGTGTTTGTATGTTTATTTAAATTATCACATTTGAAATGCTTTTGGGTTCTAGTATCTTTCATTGATCGTAAACTCAACCAACTACTCAGAATTAAACGTTGCTTGTTCAGATAGTCCTACATTTTCAGCACATCGTGTCAGGAACCGTGTCTATAAGGGAGCAAGTGGAAATGATGTTTAAAATTGAACAGATGAGATTCACGTCCGATTATTTAATTTAATCTACCCTTACGTGAGGTAAAGGAAGGCGGTGAGATGAGTACAATTTGAATCTTAATTGAACTGAGTACTGGTCTAATTATTGTACTGTCATTCGGACTCGGGAAAGATAACTGACAAAAAAAGTAAAATAATGTTTTTTTCCCTTTAAAATTTCCGCAGTAATTATCTTAAACATTAAAAGGTTTGCTTTTAAAACGACATTTACTGGGACAGGGGGATCTATTGTCAACACGATTTTAAGTTCACGAGAAGAATTTTAAGTGTTTCTAATAATCTCTCAGGTTTTCCTATTGTCTTACCGGGTGAGGTCTGATTTAATAGCATTTCTAATGTGAATGTGCAGACGCTTTCATAATGTCGGCCGATTATTACATTTCACATTTTCAGGTCGGATCCTAATGCAAAGGAAATTACATTATAAAACGGGTGATGTGTGAGTGTACTCAGATTTAAATATATTTTGCGCCCCACACTAGTCCAGATAAAAATGATACAAGTCTGCTCTCAAAAAAAAGAAAAAAACAAGTCCCAACCATGTAGGCCTTTTGTCCAAACCTTTTTCCCTGGATGCAATTTGACACGTATCCAAGATTAGCCTACGAGAACTCATTTTGGGAATCTGTTTATAGTAATGAGACTCTGTCGTTGTAGAAAAATGGTAAAACCCCAGTGGTAAGAAATTTTAACAAGAGGGAGGAGCTGCAGGCCCATCCGCGTGTTCCCCTGCAGTGTTCAAAGGATAATAATGCTGAGATGTGCTGTGTGCGTAATGAGTAATGCTTGACCCATGCATGTAATTAAAGTATGATTCTCCCAGTAAAAAGAACGTAACCTCGCCGGGTTTTTACAAAAGCACTGAGGTAAGGCCTAGTCGAAGGGCCAATGTGATCGTTCTTCGATAAAGAACTATTTGTATGTTATTAAAAAGGCAATCCCATAATTTAACACTCTTACCTGCACAAGGGACGCGAACACTTAAAAAGTGCATTAATTGTGTGTGTGCTCTTTAATTGAGCTTCCATCTATTTTTAGACCAAATGCGTCTTCTCATGTTAAACCTTAAAGGAACTCCAGTTGTTAAAACTTAAAGAAGCATTTTTTTAGTTTTGGTGTTGTGGTGATTCAGGGTATAGCACTGAAGTCTCGTACCTCCGGGATAAAAACACGCTAACATGTGAAATAGCGCTTGTTGGAAATGCCATCAGTGTGCGCCCTCTGACGGACCGGCATCCCGTCCAGTTATTCCCCTGCGTTGCAGGTTGCTGGTTCCCAGTGCCTATGTGGCCCCCTAAGGGCGCATGATTGTGTGAGTGGTGTAACTGTTAGCTATGCGGACGTTATATAGCCTATCTGAAAGTAAATAAAAACTGCAATGAATTACACTTCAATTAAGCCGTTTATTGTTTATTCACAAGCGTCGCGTGTGTAGCCTATCAGTCAAGAATGACAGCAACGTAGATTTATTCTCATCCGATTTATACATATATCAAGCCTAAGCGGTTAATCATATTCACTTAGAGATCTTTGCTATCATTTTAAATCTAAAACGAGTCTACGAAGATAAGCCCCATTGTTCAGAGTAATGAGAACAATTAAAACGGCAAAGATAATTAAGGCCCGCCTGAGTAGTGCAGGCAGTCACTGGCATTACAAGGGCTTGATTTATTGCTGCTGCCCCCCGTGGGAGTTTGTAAGAGGCTGCTAGGGCGGACGCCCCAAATCTGCTGAGGGTGGAGGGGGGTGCAGACACAAATGCAATACTAGAGAGTCGACTTATAAGGTTTCGTCATGGCAGGGAGCTGCTCCGTGTGCCTCAATACATAAATCAGTGCCAGACAGAGTCCATTGCCGGGCATGCGGGCAAGATCAAGGCGCGGCGCTCATTTCTCTCATTCAGATTTCAAGCTGTTATTAAATTGTATTGACCTATTTTGTTGTTATTTGTCTCCGTCGCATTTATTTGGGGTGCCATACATTATGATTTTGAGTTCTCCCAAATCACAGTTGTTCACGTTTTCTCCCTCAGCCCATCTTCTGTAGTTATGTCAATAACTTAACGTCTCGAAACGTCCAGTATCACTGTGTGCCTGAACGTGCATGCATGTGCCCTATCCGATGTTGTACTTGGGGTTCTGCTGACAGTATATTTCGACAAGAGCGGGTTTTCTTTAATATTTATGATGACTCGTTGATTATGCATTCATATATTCTTAAAAAGCCCCTCAATTTGTCTGCTTTTTATTCGGCTGCGATTCAGGAAAGAGTACGTACCCTCAGGCAGAGCTGTGTATGCTGAGGAAAATGTGTATATCTCTGACGCTGTTTGTTTTTCTGTCTATCTAGCAGCAATTGTGCGATTGTTCCTTTCTTGTTTCTCCCCTATTGTTTAGCTGGTATTTTCCGCACATTTTTTCTTTTCATCGGCAAAGTTTAGACGTGTGCCAAGGAAATCAAGCCATATAAAGCATGACATCCCATAAGAGCCTTTCTGAACACTGTATTTATCACTGCGCGCACACGGTCCGTGATGGTAATGCATGCTTTATTTTCTTGCAGTACTTAAATTTGTCTCTTTTGTTCACTGTCCCGAAACGCTCGCTGTCCGGAGCTGTCCCCACCTCGAGGGGCACACCCCCCTCAGGTACACCCGGGACGCGCGTTGACATCAGCGCACATCGAGGACGCGCATCGGAGTTGCGCGCCAGTGGTTGGCTCCTTTGATAAATTAGTTAATACTGCGCGATCAGTAACCAAATCACTGGGACACCCTCTGCTTTATCGCTCTGTAGATCTGGAACTAAAGTCCCTTCCAGTTTGGCAACTGACGACAACGACACCAGACCAGGCAACAAGGTAAGCTGGTTTTCCTTCGGTCCTTTAAAATGTCATTGCAATGCGGACGCTTCTAAAAACAAATAAAAGTCGGTTCAGTCGTTGGTTACGCCATTACATCACAACTTCCCAGGTCCAGGTTATCTAACTCATCATCTTATTATTCATAGTTATATGGAATAAGATCGAATGACTGGCAAAGAATGCAAGTAGGTAAATGATACGAAGTCCGTAACATCACCTTTAACAGCCGTAACAGGTAGCTGTGATAACTGCTAATATTTCGTCAATGACACAGTTGTTTTCATTTTGTTTATAAATTCTTTACCATGTCTTTATAGTACGTGTGGTATTTTGTTCATTTTAAAATGTATTTTTCACGCAGCCTAAGTAGGATCTTTTGTAAGATTTGCCTGGTTACTGCTTGACGGGAAACCATGTAGGGACCAAGGCATCTAGTCACCGCTGAGATTCCCCTATTTACTGTAAGGACCCAGTCCAGGAATCTCCATTAACGATAAAAAATGAGGATGTAGTTTTATTGGTCATATGACAAACCAAACAACGTGTCTCATGCAGACAGAATATTTAGTAGGCTAATCTAGTCTTAAGATGATGGTGGTTTCAATTATATTAGCGCGGCCAATATAATTAAGATAACAAGACGAATGAATATAGTCAAAGTAATAAACGGCATAAAAAGAGAAACGGCAATAGTCGAATCTCCGGATGTGTCTGATATTGTTGCTACACAAACGTTGGGATCCCACTTAAATTTTGTCTTTGATATGTTGCGAGTATTCATAATGTTCATAGAGCTGTATGATCTGAGTCTTGTTCATTATTGTGTATTAAAAGTACACGGTAGTTAACATCTAGTGCTTTTGTGGGACGTTTTCACTTGTTTTCGGTCGCTTGCAGGTTCGATTACAAATAATTGCTGTACCGTTTAGTAGGATTGCGCAGTCTTGTATACTATCTATACTCACTATTATATATTAATAGCATGAGATTATGGTAGGAATGTTTTGTGCAAAATGGTAGGTTAGAAGAAACTATTTTGTTTTAATGTTTTACTGTTAACCGAAATTTAAACAAGAGATGGATTTCGTATGGAATTCCGTTTTTTGTTGCCTGACGTCGGAAAATGAGAATCATTTGTACACAAAATGTTGATGACACTGATCTGTCACCCTGACGTGCAGTTAGGTAACTCGATTTACAACAAATCTCTTTGACAGGACGTATTTATGCTACAGCGACCTTAATTATAGGGAACGACCCTGTGTGTAAATAGTGCATGCGTACACGGAATGATTTATTTCTCTCCAGTGGACAGGGTAATGCAGCTAATCATGTTCTCCATGTATCAGATTGATTATAGTAGCCATAGCAAACAATTATGAATAAAATGTATTAATTTACGTATCAGCAAATAGTCGCATATATGCTGCCCAAAAGTGTGAATTTGGGGTAGTTAAAAAGTAATAAATGTCTTAATTGTTCCCATCGTAAAATTCGTTAAGATGGTTTATTTCAACAATAGCAATTATTAGTGTTCTGGCACTAATATCCCACATATCTCATACATTCCTGCTACTGGTATTACAGAGTACCTAAAATTATTTTTAAATCAATATAAATGTTCCTTTCTTTGTAAAATATATTCATCATGTTAATGGGCGTATCATGTTAACAAGGAAGAAAACCTTTTGTAATTCAAATTTTTGCTTAATTTAGACGGAGCTCGCTTGAGGGGAGGCAGTTTTCTGGGGTTACGCAGTAAGAGATCACACAATTAAAAGTGAATATAAAAGAGGCAATTTTTTTTTGTCGGCTTTTCATTACCGGTCATGTGTTGATTCAGTGTAAAACAGATTCTTCTGCCGCATGGTGCGAGTTTTAGCGAAGGTGTCAGCAGCCATGTGTGGTAATGCCAAAGCAGCTCAGCTGGAAAGGTTAATAATTAACAACCTTTATATCTACATCAGCTGTGATCATGGATGTGTGCTTATAGATGGATGGATGGATGGATGGATGGTCTGTAATGGCCACACAGGAGCTCATTGTCTTGCACTGTGGGCTCACTATGATTAGATGTCTTGCTCATGTTTGTGTTTCCCAAGTTTCCTTCTGCAGTGCAAAACTATGCAGTTAGGCTATTTGTCCTTCTGCAGTGCAAAACTATTCAGTTAGGCTATTTGTCCTTCTGCAGTGCAAAACCATGCAGTTAGGCTATTTGTCCTTCTGCAGTGCAAAACCATGCAGTTAGGCTATTTGTCCTTCTGCAGTGCAAAACCATGCAGTTAGGCTACTTGTCTCTGAAATGTCTCCGTCTGGTCCTCCTCCCTGTCTCTCGGCTTTCAGCCCCAGTGCACAAAGACTAACCCACAGGTGATGGGTTCATGGGCAGTCTTACCCGCCTGTATTCATTGGTTTTCTGTCCCCTAGTGATTGTTATTAGTTGTTTTGTTTCCCTGTTTGGTTTGCCCTGCTGTCCTGTTTGATTTTGGGTGTTGTGTAGTGTTCAGCCCTCTGTGTTATGTCTCCTAGTTCTGGTGTATGTTAAGGTTCCGTAGTTTCACGTTCGTTTAAGTGTAATCGGCCTCACCTGTGCCCTGGTGTCCCTGTGTATTTAAGTGCCTGTCTGTGTTCTGTTCATTCGTCAATCATCGTGCTATCTTCCTGCCTGTTCCCTTGCCTCTTCCCGGCGTTCCCGCTACTGGTGTTGCTTTGTTCCTTGACCTTGTTTCCTGGTGGTTAGTTCTGTTTCCCTGGTTGTTTTATCATTAGTTTCTGAGGTTGCTCTGTAATTTTTTTTCTCCTATTTTGATCCTTCACAGCCCTTTATTTTGTGCATTCCCTGTTGTGTTTCATTTTGTTAATAAGCCCCTTTGTTTCGGGAGTCACAAGTGAATTGTCACTCTTCCTGCCTGCATCATGCCCTGCGTCCGTAACACCAAGGTTCTCGGGTGGATGAGCATAGACACATGCTATGGTAATGACCTCAGTGATGCTAACATGGCATAATGGGTGAGCAACTTGTTTATCACCTAACAAGTACCAGGAGAGAGACATCCTGCATCAACGTGGGCGAACAAGGGAGGAGACTGTGTTTCACTACTTTGACTAATCGCAGTCTTCATCAAATTGGTCCATTGTTTTCCTCATTTTCAAAATCAAGGCTTCTAGCCATCCAGTCCCCTGGCCTAGAATGTTGTGTGGCTCAGCAAGCTAATCCTCTCTGTTTGTGATTGGAAGATTGCTGGTTCAAGCCCTGTTGTTGTCATCATCATGAAGACACTCTTTCATTGCTCCGTACCGCTTTTGCAGGTAAGAATATTCCTGTTTTATCAATGACGTGTCCCTTAACAAAAGACATACACAATAAAACAGGTATTTCACTAATCTGTGTGCCTTGCTGCTTAACAGAAAACACTAGTTTTACTGTTTAGTGCAGTGATGTCATACGATGAAGACTGTGATTGGTTAAAGTGAAACACAAGCCCCTCCCTTGTTGACCCAGGGACACATCGAACTCGGCAAAATCAGACACTGCGGTTGTAACCAGCTCATTTAGTGAACTAGCCATATGGACGGGTAACAATGAACACTACGAAAGGCAGACAAGATGACGCTTTCAGTAATTCTACACAACACGCAATTCAGGCAGAGCGTGTGACAGGGAGGATGGAATGGGGAGAACTGTGTATTAAAACAGGAAAATTGATGTTGGGATTTGGGAAGGGCAGTAGTGTGGATTGGGGAACCAGTCTGAGCCTATGGTCTTGCATCAGAATTATAATTTATATTAGTGATTATGGCAGGTGGCTGAGGGACTGAATGAACTTTTGCTCCAGCCCAGTATGTCCATGACCTTGGTGAATCCCTCTGTCCTTAGTTTTACTCTTCTTACTTCGGTGCAATGTGTATGATTCTGATGTAGCTTTTACGCCATATTTATTCTCCATTATCAGTGAATTTTGTGATATTTGTGTCCCCAAATCATCATCTCCCGTTTTTTTTGGTCTTACTTAAAGCTTTTCTAATCCATCTCATCTTCCTCTAACCACTTATTGAGCAGAGGGTGGCCAGGGACCTGAGGCGTTTGCCGGGGAACATCAAGTGGCACCCTACATAAGATGCCAGTCCATCACAGGGCATTTAAAGGTTTTGTTTTAACTCCGCATCTTTGACTGGAAGAAATGTTGCGAGAAGGATTTGTTGGCAGTTTAAATGGTTTCCAGAAGAATACTGTTATGACTTATGAATGAAGGAAGCTTTAGAAAGAGTGGACTGATTCTGCCCAATGAGGTCTCAGGTCTATCTGGTGTAGGGTGGGGCTTGCTGTCTCACCAGCCTATTCATGGATGGATGGATGGATGGAAGGAAGGTAGACTTTATTGGTCCCTCACTGGAGAAAGTTACTTGTTACGAAAGCCAATGGAAATAAATAGCGATAGAAAACAAATAATAATGTTATTACTGTCTCTCTGATGATGAAGGGGACCCTCCTGCACCTTAAGAACCCAGTGTGGATTGTTAATAAAGCGATCATGATTGCTCTGCGTCCCTCAGCAATTAATTATAACAGGAGGATGACAGAGTGGGTACGCGTCCTCCTCGCCCTCCGCAGAGGAGTGACACACGCCAATACGCCAAACCTGCCTTCTGTCAGCCCTGCTATTTGACTTCATCCGCAGCTCATGAATGTTACTCCAGAAATTCCATGATAGAACTGAAGCTCTCCTAGGAGCGTTCCAAGCAGCCAAATGACAGGGGAATCCGCGAAAATGGCAGACAGAAACAAACGTGGCTGTAGAATCAGGAAAGTTTTTATTAACAGCTTCAGCTTGTGTTTATGAACCATTTAAACTCCAAATCGGTGACGTTCAAGTAATAATCAGAAATCATTAATTTCAGTCTTTATTCACATAAACACCTTCACTTCACAAATATCCATTTTCCAGAAGGTATGATAATTATGATACAGTTTTTTCGGCACTTTAAGAGTAAGTGAA